TTTTGGTTTTCTTCATTCTTCTTTGCTCTGGACGAGAAGAGACCCATCGTTGCATCTAGATGGCAGCTTGCTAGCTTTTAAGATCCCAGTTGCTACTTGCCAAAGTAGGAGGTGGAACAATGTTTTGTGTAGTGTGTTATGCCAATTGCGCTTGATGTCCCCTGCGACTGTGGTCCGGAGGCCACAGGTTCAACCATCAGTCCCTCTGGGCAGCTGGCTGTGACCGAACAGTGGCCACAGCCTGGGGCACAGGTTTCTGTGTGGCCCTTTCCTCCGGGTGCACACCCAGCACTGGGACAGCTGGCTCCCACTGCCGCTCGTGCTTCTCTCCGGAGAAACCTCCCTGCAGAGCAAGGCCCGGGCTAGGGTGGAGTGAGCAAGGGGAAGGGGGTGAGGAAATAGGGGGGACCCTGCTCCCCCAGACCCCTTGGGGGTCAGACTCTACCACAGGTTGTGCTGGGGACGGGGGTGTCCTCTGTTGTCCCTGGTCTGGGGATTGACGGTGGCTCATGTCCTTGCTGGCAGAGTTCCAAGTAGGAGCCCTTCTTTGGCTCCCCACTGAGCCTGCCAGACCTGGCTTCCGGGCTCCCTGCAGGAGGTCCAGCGGCGCCCTCCAAGCCATCTCCGCAATTAAGGCCTTTCTCACGGAGGAGGGTGCATTAGCTCTGAGGGGGCTATGCGGCCTCCTCCCAGCACCTCCGTCCTCCCCAGACTGGGTGGGCGTGGGATGGGGGCCGGAGGGGGAGAGGCTCCATCGCTACAGGGCCACCTTCAGCTTCTGGGGGCTCTTCCCTGCCAGGGGTGGGGGCAGCTCAATACAATGAAGTCTCCTGAAAGACTCCAAGAGGAGGTTAGATTTGCACCCCACAGGCTATGGGCCTCACCATGTTGCGGTTGGAATCCAGGCAGCTGGGGGTGGAGGGTCAGCTTGTCTCAGCCATCAGGCACCTGTGCGACTCTAGGCAGGTGTCTGCCTCCCTGTGTGCCTCAGTTTACTAATCTGTCATGACAAATGTACCAGCCTCCCACATGATGTCAAGATGAGACAAAATGAGGGTTTTGTGGGTCTAGAATTTGGCAGACTGGAGGGGGTGAGCTTCCCGTCACTGGGGGAAACCAAGCAGGCAGTAGCCATGGTAGGGGTTCTGGCTGGGTGTCCTGACTTCTCTTAGCTCTGAGCACCACATGCACCCCGTCCTGACCCACAGGCCCCTGCCGGGCTGTTTGCCTGCTCTGGCTGGCTCCCAGGTGAAGAGGTTCTCAGCCTCCAAGCGGAAGCAGCATTTCATCAACCAAGCAGTGCGGAACTCAGACCTTGTGCCCAAGGCCAAGGGGCGGAAGAGCCTCCAGCGCCTGGAGAACAGTGAGCAGGGGTTGAGGGAGCCTCCTGGTGGCTTCTAGTCCTCCCCGGGGAATGATGTCTTTGTTGGCGTTATTTTTCATCCTTACTGTGAGCCCAGCCCTGAGCTGGGCAGTGATGGGGACCGAGAGAGGCTTCAGGTAGTAGAGTCAGACACAGACAACTGTAGTCCTGTGGAGTTGGAGCTGGGCCAGAGGGAGTGCTGGGCATTGAAGCTGGGCCCTTGAGGGATGTGTAGGAGTTTACTAAGTCGGGTTGAGACAGAGGGAATTCTGGAAGCTGAATGGTTTCTGTGCACTCTTGGTACATGGGGATGGGGAGGTGGGTGTGAGCCAGTGTCAGGGATACAGATGCCCAGGTCTGGGGTGATGGTGCAGCTGAGATATTTGGGAGGGGAGCAGGAGGATTTGTGGGGCCCTATGGAGCCGGGCCTCGGATGCCACATCCTGGCCCAGAGACTATCTGTTTCCACCCAGCCCAGTACCTCCTGACCCTGCTGGAGTCCAGTGGGGGCACGCCTGGCCCAGAGGATGGGGACCTGGCTCCCCCTGCAGCACCTGGCATCTTTGCTGAAGCCTGCAACAATGCGACCTATGTTGAGGTAGGGCCGGTGCCCCTCATGTTGCTGCACCTCCTCCCATGTTCCTGAGCTCCCCACCCTCACTCCCACCACCAGGAGCACCCGGCCCCTCTGGTCCCTGACAGACGCCCTTAGGGTCCTCGACCAGGCTGGAACCGCATGGAACTTTCCTGATAAAGGGGAAAGTGAGGCACGGGCATTTGAAGCCATCAGCTCCAGGCCTCTCTTCCAGGTCTGGAACGACTTCATGAACCGCTCGGGGGAGGAACAGGAGCGGGTCCTCCGCTATTTGGAGGACGAGGGCAAAAGCAAAGCTCGGAAGAGGGGACCTGGCCGAGGCGAGGACCGGAGGCGAGGTGTGGTGGGGTGGGCCTGGTGTAAGTGGGTAGAGCCTGGGTGTGGCTGCACTGGGGGCCAGGGCGGAGCCTGGGGCCTGCAGGCGGGCCTAGTGTGGGTGGAGCCTTGGGACCGCTCTGTGGGCGGGGCCTGGTGCACGTCTGCGGGCCCAGGCCGCTGGCCCCAGCAACCTCCACATACCCTCTGGCAGACGACCCGGCCTACACCCCACGCGAGTGCTTCCAGCGGATCAGCCGGCGCCTGCGAGCCATCCTCAAGCGCAGCCGCATCCCCATGGTGAGTGCGGGAGGAACTTGCTCTGGTCTAGCAGCCATGGCTTTTTTCCTGCCTTAGGTTCTCCTTTGGAGGTGGAATGGGTTGAAACTACTATCACCCAAAATGGGAACAGGGAGATAGACCAGAGAACAGGACCTGGGAACTTCACCCTGAGGGTGTGAGGGGCAGGGGCAACGAGGGTGGGTATTACAGGATGTGTAGGAGTTCACCAGGCAGCAGGCCAGCTGCTCAGAGGTACAGTGATGGCAAAGTTCCTGGGACCCTAAGAGACTGTTAGGTGGCTGCATGCAGTGGCTGAGCGGCAGGGGCTGCCCGGCATAGCGGGTCTGGCCTGACTGCTGGGCTCTTCTCTCCCCAGGACATGCTGGAGACCTGGGAGGACCGGCTGCTCAGCTTCTTCTCCGTGTCCCCCCAGGCCGTCTACACGGCCATGCTGGACAACAGGTGACTGGGCAGGGGCGGGCACCAGAGTGTTCCCAGGGGGCCAGCCATGGCCCATGGCACACTCACCCCTCCACTGCCCGCAGCTTCGAGAGGCTCCTACTTCACGCCATCTGCCAGTACATGGACCTCATCTCGGCCAGTGAGTGCCAGCGGCCCTCGGCACCCCAGGGTCACCAGGGTCTGGGCACCCAGTGGGAGGCATCTGGGAGAGGAGGGGCACGGCCCTGCCAGGGAGCAAAGATGAGGCAGTGGGACTGCCGGCAGTTAGTCGGCCAAAGCTCCCTGGGAACCGGGTCCTGGCCTGGGTGACACGGGGGACAGAGCTGGACACACCTCACTTGGTCCACATCTTCAGGGCTGGGGGCTCGGGGCCCTGGTGGGGAGGATGACTCTGGGCCTTGGGGTGCCTCACTAGACCCTGAGATGAGGATAGGAAGCCAGTGTCCAGATGGTCTGGTATGCCAAAATCCCTCCTCCACCGTTTGCCTAACTATGGGCAGGCCCCCCCCTTCTGAACCTATGTCCCCATTTTTACAATGGGAGTATCTCGGGACACAGCCCCCCAGGGAGGTCTTCACAGGCCCTTGCCAGCCCCAGACACCCCATCTGGTCCTCACTCCCCACACCTGGCTCCTCTGCCTCCTGCCTGGCGTTGCTGAGGAGACGGTTTCCGTGGCAACCCCTGGATAGTTCCTTCTGCCTTCTCTCTGCGGGCACCGCAGCCCCCACACTGGCCTTTGTTCCCTCGGACTCAATGGAGGGCTTGGTGCAGGGGAGGCTTCTCTGCAGGGGTGGAGGTGTGGCCTGAACCCAGAGCAGGAGTGGCCCTCACAAGACAGGGAGTAGGGTGAGAGGGTTCTGGGCAGAGGGGACCGTGGTGTAGAGCCCTGGGGTGGGACAGAGCTTGGCTTTGGCACGGATGGTTCAGTTTTTGGGGTGAGGGAGAGGTGGGGGGGGCGATGATTCCGGCAGAGGCTGAGCCACCCAGGGTCTGGATGCTTGGGAATTGCCTCAGGCTACTGCCTGCAGGGCAGGGGTGGAGGCTGAGAGGCAGGGCACGGTGAAGGCCTGTATCTGAGTGTGAACTTGGCCTTGGCCCTTCCGTGCCTCATGTTCCTCTCTGTGAAGCGGGGTCAACAACACCAAAAACTGCAGCAAGACCCAGACAGGCGGCACCCGAACCCCACTGCTGTTGGGGTGCTTCCAGCGCCCAGCACCCCATAGGACAGGGCAAAACTGTTCCCCAGGGCTTCCCAGGCTGTACATCTTCACAGAGGCACACTGCCACCTCTTTCTCCCATGGAGTGACTGCTGGGTTCTAACCACCAGCCTTGCGGTTAGCAGCTGAATTCTATAACCACTGCACCGCCAGGGCTTGCCTACAGGAGGGTTACAGTCCACCAGACCCCCCAGACAACAGCAGGAAAGGCGGAGGGGTGCAGAACTGGACGTGCTGAAGCCCCACACGACGGCTCTCGCGCGTCTTTAATTCACACCCCCTGGTGCCCTCCGCAGGTGCCGACCTGGAGGGCAAGCGGCAGATGAGAGTCAGCAATCGGCACCTGGACTTCCTGCCGCCAGGGCTGCTCCTGTCCGCCTACCTGGAGCAGCGCAGCTGATGGTGGCCCCCGGTCCGCACCAGCGCCGAGGCCCCCGCTACCAGCGGCTGAATGACCTCCCTGTTAGTTTTAGAATTTGTCCTGGAAACTTGCTCTTCCCCTTGGGGTGGCTCTCTCACCCTTGCCCCATCCCCACCCTGCTCTCTCAGACCAGGGCTGGCAGCTGGGTGTGGGTCTGCCCTAGACCCTCCCGCCTTGGAGCTCCCCGCTGTGGGACTTGTGTTTGGGCAGGGAGACCTGGTCTGGGCACTTCCATGTTCCCTCTTCGTTCAGCTTCTCTGGTCCAGCGTGAAGCTCAAGTGAGGAGGGAGAGGCCGAGTTTTTTATGACTTTTAATGAATTTGGCATGATTTGTTGTAGATTTTAAATTTCCCTCTTGGGAGGAAAACCAAAACCCCTCCCCCACTGAGATGTGGTGGGGCTTCATCCAGCCCCTGCTTGACCCCTTCTCCGTTTTCTGCTTGGATGGGGGGTGGTCTCTGGGCCCTGCCCATTGATTGCCACAAGGGCTTGTGTCTTGTGTGTGTTCGTGTGTGTGTGTGTGTGTGTGTGTGTGTGCGCGCGCGCGTGCGCCCCACAACCCAGGCCAGGAGCGGCGTTTTAAGGGCTGGTTTCATCCTCTTTTTGGAACGCATGTCCTCCCCTGGTGCCTTTGGCAGATGTGTTTTTGCTTGTGTGACATGGGGCAGCTCTACATGTCGCCCTTGCACCCATCCCTCCCCCTCCCTTCATACTGGGGGTCCAGGACTTCCAGCCAGAAGCTCCCATCCTCAGAAAGCCCTGTCCCCCTCCCCATGTCCATTCTGCCCCCAAGCCTGGCTCTGGCCTGTTGGGACAGGTCATCCTGTCCTGGGCTGGGAGAGCGGGGCTGGGGACCCTTCCTTCCCAGTGTGTGGCTAATTGTACTTTTGGGAAGGTGGAGGGTTCAATAAATTTCTGGTGCTCTGGCCTCAGACTGTGAGTTCTTCTTTGGAGCAGGGCTGGGGGGCTGGTCACTGAGGGCTACAGGCCTGGAGGGGCAAGGCGCCCTGATGAGCAACACTCTTGTAGCAGGTGCCCCCGGGGACCCTGTTGGGTGCTGCCGGCCGTTAATCTCTCAGGTACCCAGGTTCTAATCCCCCCCTGTGTCTTTTCAGCTGTGTGACATAGTGTGCGTCACTAACCTCTCTGTGCCCGTTTCCCCATGTGATGAATGAGCTGGGCGGGGGTGTGAAGTCAGGTACTCAATGCAGATGAAACCCTGGCTCACCGCTGGTGACACCATGCACAGAAATACCCTTGGCTACACTTGACAGCAGGCTGTATCTCCCACCGATGGTCATTCGACAGCACCCGTCCCTCAGTGCTTTTGTTTGGGACGTTCCAGGAAGGTGCAGAAGCAGTCTGTGAACGGCACCCCCTCACACAGTTGCTTCCCTCCTGATGTGTATTTTCTGAGCTGTGAGAGGGCGTTTTGAGCCTGGGGCCTGTAACCCTGAGTTCTTCAGCCCCAAGAATGGGGACTTTCTGCACAATCACAGCACCACCCTCCCTTGGGAAATTTCATCCCGATCCTGTGTGGCCTTCAGAAATGTTTTTTTATGTTGGGACAGCCCCAGGCATAGGGGAGATGGTTCTGAGCGCCACCCACCGCGCAGCTGCCTTCCCCTCTGTAAATGCCTCCCAGCAGTGTGGTCCCTTGGTCCCAATAATGAACGTTTTTGAGATACAGGAAGTCCCTGGGTAGTGCAAATGGTTAAGTGCTTGCCTCCTAACCGCAAGGTTGGTGGTTCAATCCCCCCAGAGGATCCTGGGATGAAGGGCCTGTGGTCTGCTTCCAAAAGGTCCCAGCCCCAGACGCCCGGTTGCACTCCATTCCTCCTGCACAGCCGGGAGCTGGAATCGCCTGGAGACAAAAACTTGTGTCACTCTGTTATTAGCCACTAAGGTCAGTTGCCCTCCGTTTCCCACTGATGTCCTCTGTCTGCCCTCAGGCCTTTAGTCTTCATGCCTCCTCAGGTCCTCTGGGTGATGACGGTTTCCCAGGCTCTCCCTGTTTTGGGGGATGGACAGGTTTGGGGGCACTGCTCAGAATTCCGCAGGATGTGCTTCAACTGAAGTTAGTTTTGCTCATGAGGAGACTGAAGCTGTGGGTTTTGGGCAGCAACCTCAGAAATGAGGGACCCTCCTCACCCTGTCATATTGGGGTGCACAGCGTCCACGTGGCCCGCCATGGCAGATGTTGGTCTCGCTCACCTGGCTGAGGTGTACTGTCAGTTGTCATCATGGTGAGGCAACGCTTTTTCCACCTCTCTGCACGGTGCCCGGGCGGGGCCTCTTCCGGGGCGGGGCCTCTTCTCAGTGGGCATGGGGGTGGACACGGTGCCTCATGATTTTCATGCTGCCAGAGGAGGGGTCTGTGTTTTCCTCCTCACGTATTTATGCACTCTTTTTAAAGAGGGAAAATAAAAATTTCAAAAATGTGTTATAAAGCATTTCAAACAGACGAGTATAATGAACCCCCATGTCCGCATGACCTAGCTTCAAAAACTATTAACTAATGGCTAATCTTTTTATATAAGATTAAGGGAGCTCTGGTGGCATAGTGCCTAAGGCATTTGACGACTAACCAGAAGGCTGGCAGTTCAAACCCCCAGCCACTCCTTGGAAGGAAGATTTGGCAAACTACTTCCATAGAGATACAGCCTTGCAAACCCAAGGAGAGGTCACTATGAGCTGGATCCAACTCGACGGCAGTGGGTTGGGTTGGGTTGGGTTGGGTTT